TCCATGTCTCTACTATGTCAGAATTGGCATATAATATGTATTAACAAAACACACGCGTTAGTATTGAGGCAAAAGGAATATGTAGCTGCTGGGTTACAGATCATGTGGGAAGACAAGAGAAAACATAGTGTTATTCATAGTTTATAAAGTTTTGATTGACAAAAAATGTTTTTGATGTGTTCTGTGTCACTTGTTATCCATATTTACTCAGACTGAAACACTTGCTGTGACTTTTGGCTCAGTGTTGCCCTGAGCCAAAGTGCGAGCATCGTGTTGACGATGATCTTACAAGGCATGCCCGTGAAACTGTCAATGCATGTTTTTGTCAGTACGCCACCAAGAAACCTGCAACATAACAACAAGGTGTGAAGGTGCACTTTTGCGTAATAGTGAGATATATGTTACTCCGCTGCATTGATTTGGGGTAAAGGGAAAAGTACGGCTGTGTGTCAAACCCAACCTCAAAATCCCTAGATGTTTTAAACTATTATTCATTCATGGGCCATCATCTCCAAGCACTGGAATAGACCAACATAGTCCACATTAGGATGGTGCCTGCATTAATTATGTGTTACTTAATAGTGTTCACATGCACACACACAAGCAGGGATTTAGTTTGATTTTTTGGACTCCGAATACCCTTCACCAGCCATTTATCCATTCCAAACTCCTTCTAACGTCAGACACATGCAAAGATATCTCCCCCCTCGTCTTTTTTCACCTGCACACACCTTAGCAGTGCCCCTGTGGGTGCTGCAGGTAGCAGAGCAATGGAGCGGCAGAAACCAACAGTGGATTAGCAGCAGTATGTGAGAGAGGCCAGATCCGGACGTATTCCTCTGGGGAAGTCAAGCCAGATAATCCGACCGCAGCGCTTACTCTATCAACCCCCTGCCAGCTGCACACAAACAACACAATACAAAATATAACCCAGGCCTGAATATTTCAACTGAGATGTATGCCAGAGTGTATGGCAGCACTGCACGTGCCAATACAAGCAGGCACACACGCAAAGAAATGATATCTCAAGCATGGCGATTTAATCTTAGATGTATTTGCCAAGGCGTACGCAATGCAGCTGCTTTAAACAGGCGCACATACACATTTTTGTGTATATCCCTGTAGGGCACACAAACAGCTTGACACTCTGTTACATATGTGCATGCATGCAACTGTCCATACCAGTACACCATACACGCATGCTCAAGCCCCCAAAAAAGGTACCCCCCCCCACCACCCTGACGTGAGGACAGGAGACCTTTGGCCCTTGATTGACACAAAAAACGTACCTGGCTTCAGTTCTCACATATGGCTGCAGCTAATCAGAATATGCTGCCCGGATTTACAACTACAGGCTGTGGCCCTGAGGGGAAAAGAGAGCTGGCGCAGTCACTGTAGCAGTATCTGACTGGCTGTTCAGTTGGATAGCTGGTTTTCTGACTGGTTAAAATCTTTTTGATGTAGTGTCCAACAAAGAAAAGTAAATTCAGAACATAAATTCTCTCTCAAGATAAGAGTTTTAGACTTGCAGTTCCAAATGTTTGCCCAAATATGCTTACATACACAAAAAACGCTCATGCTTGCTCACATGTATGAATGTTACACAGAGTGGATACAGACACATACATGTGCAGGGATGCACACCAAAGCAGGAGGATCAGGGAAGAGGCGGTCTTGATTGCTCATCAAACAGAAAGCAAGAGCTGGCAAAAGGTGTCAAATCGACTGCAGCTCAGTCTCCTGGGACCACCTGTCGATTACAGTGGTAAAGACAAGCTGCCTGGTGCCTCAATCCATTCCCAGCAGCCTCCACTGGGCCTGTGGACACCTGAAGAATCCTGATGCCAGGAGAGTGTGGGACCTTCGACTTCACACCGGTAGATACCAGTGGTTTGCCCCTGCTGCACCATTCAGATAAACAACTCTACAGAGAAATGAAGGACATCTATCACACAATTGGCAGCATGTATAGATAGAATGAGATAGGTCACGGTAATATCAAGCTGTCCACAGAAACATGTAAATTGAGACTTTCTCAAGCTACAGTACATTGCTTTGAGCTGACAAAGAAAGAATAAATATAGAATAAAACCTAATCCACAAAATAGAACAAAGGGCATTATTTAGCTACAGCGGGAAATCACAAATGAATCGCAAGGCATTATAATTACAACTGTGATATTTATCACCTTTTGCTTGCCAGGGCGAGGTATGTTCTCTGAATCTTTGGCAAAAGGACAACAATCCCATTGCTTTCGGATGGCTGATAGTTAGAGCCGGATCAAGCGTTTGTATCCCATTTATCCTGCCATGGGGGAGTGGGAGGGGGGAGATTACCCTTTCCAGCAAACTAACCTTGGACACAGAATAAAAACTCCAGGTGGCCGATTTGCACTCTACGGCAGAATCTTAACAGCCAGGATCCTGTTTGTGGACTTCAGCTCTGCTTTCAACACCATCATCCCGTCTCTGCTGCAGGACAAACTCTCCCAGCTGCACGTGCCCGACTCCACCTGCAAGTGGATCACAGACTTCCTGTCTGACAGGAAGCGGCACGTGAAGCTGGGGAAACATGTCTCAGCCTCTCGGACCATCAGCACCGGTTCCCCCCAAGGCTGCGTTCTTTCCCCTCTGCTCTTCTCCCTGTACACCAACAGCTGCACCTCCAGCCACCAGTCCGTCAAGCTCCTGAAGTTTGCGGATGACACCACCCTCATTGGACTGATCTCTGGTGGGGACGAGTCCGCCTACAGGTGGGAGTCTGACCATCTGGTGTCGTGGTGCAGCCAGAACAACCTGGAGCTCAACGCTCTAAAGACAGTGGAGATGGTTGTGGATTACCGGCGGAACAGAGCCCCACCCTCCCCCATCACCCTGTGTGACTCCCCCGTCACTATTGTGGATTCCTTCCGTTTCCTGGGCTCCATCATCACCCCGGACCTCAAGTGGGAGCTGAACATCAGCTCCATCACCAAGAAGGCTCAGCAGAGGTTGTTCTTCCTGAGGCAGCTGAAGAAACTCAACCTGCCAAAGACGATGATGGTCCACTTCTACACGGCCATCATCGAGTCCATCCTCTGCTCCTCCATCACCGTCTGGTACGCTGCAGCCACAGCCAAGGACAAGGGCAGGCTTCAGCGGGTCATCCGCTCTGCAGAGAGGGTGATCGGCTGCAATCTGCCGTCCCTGCAGGACTTGTTCGCTTCCAGGTCTCTGAAGCGAGCTAAAAAGATCGCGGCCGACCCCTCCCACCCCGGACAAAAACTGTTTGTGCCCCTTCCATCTGGCAGGAGGCTGAGGTCCATCAGGACTAAGACCTCCCGCCACACAAACAGTTTCTTCCCGTCGGCAGTCGGGCTCATCAACAGAGCTCGGTCCCCCACTGCCTAACTATAACACTCCACCGGTCACTCCCCCTCATACTGCACATGTCACTTTAACTGCAATTCATCACTTTGTCACTTGTCACTTTGTCTCTTGTCTGTTACTAAGCACTTTATGCTTAATATTTTTCTTTTTAACTTTTTAATATTTAAATTTTTTAAACTTTATTCCCTTGTTTTATACTAACCCATAGCCTTAGCCTTATTCTACTAACCCATTGCATTAGCATTTCATTCCACTTTATTTTATTACTTGTGCACTGTTGTCTTGTCTGTCTACTGTCGCGCACTAACCGCCAAGACAAATTCCTTGTATGTTTGACATATTTTGGCTAATAAATGTTTCCTGATTCCTGATTCCTGATTAAGAAAAGGGTCAATGGTTTCTCTCTGCAGGTTTGCTTATCCAGCCTGTCAACTAAATACAGATGACAATGACTTGCTAAATAGTACATCATTCCAAGGCATGCAGGCTTTGTTGGTGGGTTATTGTGAAAGCAGAATTCCGTTTCCTTGCAAAAATTGCTGCAATCCCAAGCAAAGCCTCGTTGTGGTTTCAGCACCACGGACAGCTCTCACGGCGCGCGGCACTAGGAAGCCTGGTGCCTCTTTGGCTTCCCCTCAGACAGAAGGAGGGATGCAGGGTTCATTTATTAGCTTTCCTCATGAACTCACCCTGCTGACTCCAAGCTAATAAATCTCACCAAAGGAAATGGATTTCCATAGAGGTCACTGCAGCGACAATCATTAAGTGGGCAATATTTAAACCAGAAGCCACGCACATAATTGATTTAAACCTCATCTCGTAGCTCTTTCCAAAGCAGCTGCTCTCAGAACGCAGACACTTAGGTTTAGATTCAACAAGGACCTCAGTGATCACGTTGACGAAAAGGTTAGCAAAGCCAGGTGCATTGGCATCAGCTGCTTTTGAAGAAAGCCCTGCATGTGCAAAGGCAGAATGACGTTCATTCTTTGTGCCATCGCGGCCTTTCACTTCACTCTGTTTCCTCTCCGCTTCAAAGTGGGAAGTCGGTGACTCTTCCAAAGCTAGATGGCAGAAGAGCCCCACTGCAGCCGAGCTGCGCTCTGCGCCGTCATCATCATCCCGTCTTTGCATTGCAAATTTGTCCAGTCCCATCACTCCCAATAACGGCGCCGCTCCATCTCCGGAATGAAAATCAGAGTTATGGTGGGATTGCCTAGCGGGCACATTTCTTTCATCCGATTTTGGGACGGGATGCTGGCTGTCTTGAGTGTCACCTATACCCAATCCCCATTTACCCTCCCCCGAATACCCCCCCCCCACCCCCCCCACTCTCGGCTGACACACATAAACCACATGCTGACATTAACAGAGGTCATGTCCCTCGCGGGATTTACAATCTTCCCATGAAGAAGTGCCTCTCCTCCCTCCTCTCTTCCCCACCCACACCGCTCTGTTCCCACTTCGTGATTTGTTAGCCACACATCAACCACGCAATGTTGGTGGGCCACACTTACACGGGACCATCTCTCTCCCCCCCCCCTCTCTCTCTCTCTCTCTCTCTCTCTCTCTCTCCCCACTTCGCCCCACCACCGTCACTCCCTCCCCGCCACCCTTTCCTCTCTCACTCCGCGTGGTTCCCATGCCGATCGATGAGACAGGCCAGACTCCTCTCTGCCCTCAGCCGGTTGACAGGAACGATGCTTCACAGCAGACGCGTGCGCGCGCGGCCGGAGATGCTCACACTTGATGCCCCTCTCAGCCGAGATGGTTGAGCCTTCGTGCAGGTTGCCGTGGTCCTCCCTTCAAATTCAGTCTCGCTCACTTGTCTCCCATCAGCTGACATAGCGGCGGGCGGCTGTGCCTCTTCCCTCCTGTGAGCGGGGTAAAAGAGAGAGAGAGAGAGAGAGAGACTCCACTTCAGCCAAACACCGCGCAAACAGGCTGCAGGTTACATGTGCTAGTTGAGAACATGAGGGGGATTTACAGAGACGGATACTACGACGGATCTATTGAACTGCGGGACGTTTGCAACAGGAGATGCGTTAAATGGGACCATGGGGACTTTGTTCGAGGCAAAACGATGCGGATTAGGACGGGAATTGTTTTTTGGAATCTCATCTTTTCACTGATGTTCACTTGTGTGAAAGGTAGGAGCCACTGCATCAAGACGCTGTGTTTTCTGATGCACTTGGCGTGTCAGAATGTGTGCGCAACGCGTGCGTCGTGTGTGTGCGTGTGTGAGAGTGTGTGTGTTTGCATGTAGGCTCGTGTGTGTGTGTTGTGTGCCTTCGAGCGTGCGTGCGTGCGTGTGACAAATCAAAGCTTTAACGTTACAGACGTGCGCAAATCAGGCTGCCACGGTTTACTGGATGAGAGTTTTAAGAGACGCATTTCTCCCGTTCGGCGCTCGGCGTTCGGCGGTGAATGCAGGCTTTCACCGAGTCGCTCAATAGTAGCCTACGCTTCTCCTAATCGCCTACGTGAGCTGCTTTGCTTAGTGGTCCAACTAGTGAATTGTTGGGGCCAATGCACTGCAGATTGCCTACAGGGTGTGAAATACATTCGTATTCTTTTAAGCTTGAGCCCGTACGCCCCTTTTCCACCTTTTCCGGGTCGGGTTTTTACAAGTATTGCACATAAGACAAATGGCTCTGGAACAATTTCAGGGGACCGAGGCAATTAGTAGTGTGGAACCAATTTGTCGACTGGTGTTTATCGGACCGGCCAGTGCAGGCAGGTGTAAGGTGGGCTTGTTAGTATTCTAGTGGCTCTTTCTCGGGTTCTGCCCATTTAAATACTTGCTGGTGAGGTAGCTGCTGAGTCCCTTTTATTTCTTGATATTCATCAGCTACCTTCATGCGTCTCGATGACACTTTCATCACTCCCAAATCGTAACGTGTGTAATGCAGTTTTCAGAAATAAAATCGGTCAAAGCAATTGTTGCTTATTTACCAGGCTGCACGCAACATTTGCTCATTCATTGTCAACTGACATTTAAACAGCATTTAGAGGAAATGTAATAATAATTTGTTACGGGTTTTTTAAAACTGTGTAAGTGTGTCTGTTACTCTCTGTCTTTGTGTGCTGAGCTCCGTAATGTTACACTCACTGTGTTAAATTCTCATTTATAACTAGAATTCTAATTATTTATTAATTAATTAATGAAAAAAATGCAATTCAACCCCTCAAAATAGTTTTCTTCCTGATATGCTTGTGTGCATGCACATGGATGCATGTGTGTGTATGTTTGTCTGTGCCTGTTTTTGTTAGCGTGTAGTGAAGGACATTTCATATGCAAATGCATGGCAGTTACCTGTTAAATGCATGGTTTGGCTTTGTTAATGCCCATACTCAGATATTCATTTACATGCACATTGTTCCCCCTGAGTAATCCTTGTCTCAGTCTTTTGTGGGGGGGGGGGAGATGTGCAGCATCCAGAGTAGCAGCGGCAACAAAGCATGAGCCAAGTTGATCGTGCACAGCGTTGTTTCTTTACCACCCGTATTAGGGCAATGTCAAATCTCGCGGTTGCTGCCAATCCTCCCAGTTCTGTTACTTATTAGTGAGCCAGCCAGCGATGGATTGGGGAGGACGGGGGAAGAGTTGAGAAGGACGAGGAGGAGGCCTGGATCTCCTGTTGGAAAAGAGCACAGGAAATAGTGACACCGAACGAGATGCGCAGGTGGAAACTACCACCTGTAGTTTCACCGTTTTGACAGGTGACACAATGTTTGCAGAAGGAAAAAAAAAGATAGAGATAGACTCACCTCTGCTACGCTAATGATGCTCTCCAAAAAAAACCTCTATCTAGCAAACTTTGTACAACACTGCTTTGTTAAAGGTGCTTTTTCATGTTGGATTATTTTTGGATCCATGTGCGTCGGTGGTGCACAGTGGTTCACAAAGTTATCTCATTCACCGGTTTCTTGGCCCTCCACTATTAGGTGGCATTTAAGGACATTTATCAACTTAGTTTTATAATTAATAATTCTGCCCGGCGATGCAAGATATAAATGTATATATTGTGTTTTAATTACAGGAAATTCATTTTGATTAACAGAGACATGGGTCAAACAGAAAACCCAGGCTCTGGCCTGTTTCCTGTGCTGACGTCGTCAAATTACATCGACGATAGATGATAGCGAACAGATTGTTGGAAATGTGTCCATCTGTTGCGTCCCACCACTGGCTCTTGTGATTACACTTCTCCAATTTCCTTCTGGATTCTACGTAGTTTTAAAATGTTGGCCCATTTGTCATTTTCGTTAAAACTCTATATCAGCACAGTCACTAATTACTGGTAATCAGTCGGGTTCTGCACAGACAGTAATCTGGCCACTGAGCCCTTGATGAAGTCTTTCTCTCAATGTGATTATGTAAACAGGCTGGAAAGGCTGCTGGGGCTAATCAGGATTACAATTTGTCTGTGTAATTATGCACTATCTACAGGGACTTTGAGGCATTATCCCACTGCCCCTCGGGTTCTTGACCTCCACAACAGTAGAAAAAAATTACCTGAGTTCAACTGGAACTATCGGCACATACAGGAGCAAAGCAGACCAGTTTTTCTACAGTCCTGGAAAGATCTGCAGGCCAAGCTCAAACTAAAGACCTGTATGTCTTTAAATTATTTTAACTTAGAACTTTTGATTCAATTAACTTACAAACACATGACCAAAATCCTGCCTTGTTAATGTTATTTTTTTTACTACAACTGTTGTTGTTGTGTTTTGATATTGTTGTCTTGTTATGTGTAGAATCCTGCTATTTGACCCCGTCTTGGTTTCACTTATAAAACAGGTTTTACTCTTAAAGTGACTTCCTAGTGAAAAAAAGGTCATATGTTACTGGAGGGAACAATATCCAATTTCCCAGGATGCAGGAACTGGCAACAGTAACCCTTTGACACCTCGGATTCTTGATGCCTCTTTTAGTGTTGACATCTGACTGGATCTCCCTGGTGGTGCACCAACGTAACACTCAGTTCACCCGCGGGCCTCCCGCCGGGCCCCAAGGCCCGGGTCAGGCTCTGAGATGTTGCTGACAGGTCCACGCGAAGGTCGGGTATAGTTTGCTGGTTCTGATTAAGTCTGTTCTTCTCAGGAGTCAGTTTTAATGTAAGCAGTACTCTTGAGGGAGAGAGATTGGCAATATCTTGTCTTCAGGAAGAAAAGTAGCTCCCAGTTTGTTGAGATTAAGTGTAATAGGCTGAGGAGCCGTTGCTCCCAGAGTGAAGGCTACAAATTCCAGGTGCACTGTGTTCTCCATGTTAGGGGGGAGGTTTTAAGGTATCCACAGATAAAACTGTAAAGGCCAACAAATCCATTTGGCCTTTATCTATGCAGTGGTTAAAATATGCAAAACGTGTCAAGGAAGATATTTGAAAGAAAGAAGAAGAAATCTAATGCAGCATTCTTTCCCATAGTCCCAAAGAATGTATCCACAGTATATATCCAGAGTTAATGACTTTGTAACCATAACTTTAGGAATATTTCCCTTCAGAGTCCACTGCTGTTCTTGTTTGTCTCTGTGACAATAGCCTGGGTTTTTTATGTGACAGGAGAGCAGGCAGCGGCGATAGTGGCCAGGGAAACAAAGTGGGGTGATGTGAACGTAATGAGGAGGTAGACTGCTAAGTGGAGACTGCTGTGATTCCACAGCATATTTCACAGCAATTAAAATGGTAGGTGGGGTTAGCTTAACAGATACATGTTCGTACTCTCAACTTCACCACTTGGCTATCAGCAATGGGGAATACTGTGTATTCCATCTAGTTAGAATATAGACCAAGACGAGTAAACCGTGTTGCTTGTGAGAGGCGCTCAGATCAGCAGCATTGAAACAATTGATTTCTTCGCATTTCTGTAAATTTGACAATTGGCTTGTGTTGCCTCTATGGTATGAAATGAAGAAACATCAATTTTTTTGCCCTGGCCTGTGGAGCTGTATTTATCAAGGCACGTATTTCTTTTTCAGTCTCAGTTTAAAAGAAAGATTAGTTTTGGTCATAGGATAATTATAAAGGATGACCGTGTCATTGAGGTGAAGAAGCTGCCAGCCAATATAATTAGGTTTCAATGACAGCAGTTTTAGACCTGCAGTTCCAGTCCAACCTAAAAGCATCCAGTAAAAGCAATAGATGGTAGAGTTATAGCTCCTAAAGTGTGCCACCGACATCAGTTAGTGTCATTAGTGTGTTGTTCTTTAATTTATTGTTTTCTTTGTTCTTTTATTTATTGTTGTCTTTTTAATATGAGATATGATTGTAACTATTTAATATTTGATTCTGATGAAATATTAAATATCATAATAAATGTATTATAGTTATAAAACAAGTATATTTTTCTATTGTGTAGCTCACACTGCTTCGGGTGCCCTTGTGTGTCCTGTGAGGGTGAAGGACAAGGGTCTAGTACACATTCCTTTTTTTGGGAGAAAAAACTCAACAAGGGGACCATTGATCGGCAGATAGAAAAGTTGCATTGTTTGTAGGCACACCTGAGTTAGAACAGGAGTTATTCTGCCCCGAGTTGGAGAGTCAATCAACAGAAAATTAAGCAGTAACTTATTTGAAAATTATTGGGAAAGATCAATTTCTGAAATGAGTTGTCAGCCTAAATCCAGTGTTACTCCTACCAGTACAATGAATGAACGATGATTTATGAATGTGTAGCTTGTATAATTGGTCATTCTGTAACTTAACACTTTAACTGACTTTTCTGATTGCCCAGTGTCTGATGAACCTCCCAGATGTAAACAGCAGTTTATGGATCTTTAAAGAGGAAAATTGACATCGATTCACAAAGCCTTTTGGTGTTTTACAGCCCAAGACTGAATTCTAATTCTATTTAAGTGTTTAATGATGTAATATACGCTGTGGATTAGTACGATAAAGTATTAATCAATTAGTATACATTTATTTCATGTGATCCAACCGGTCTCACGAATGTTTGATTGGAAACTCCCAAAACAAATTCATTTAGTGTGTGGGTGTTACATCTGCAAGTTAACTTCCGTCACCATTAGTTTTATTTCCCCAAGGTGGCGTATTTTTCCGTATTTGAAAATCTGGGGGTTTGCAAATTTGTGATCTAGTTTTCAAGCATGTGCTCTGTTAGCAGGGTTATAAGGGCCGCATGTTTTCTA